GTGTGTGTGTGTGTGTGTGACTGTGACACATGAGATCTGAGTGTCAAGATTGATGTAGATAAACTCTAGCAAGTCCTCCCCAGTGTATTCCCGAGCGGCGTCCGGTCAACGGGCCGGGCGTAGATGCTTGACTGAAACTTGGTCATCATTGCTTGCACTCGCCGATTCCAACCTTTTGGTATCGCTTACTGCGATCTTACTGGCTTGACATCTGCATGATAACTTGCATGTCCCGCTGACAGATTCCTGCAACATAACTTCCGCTGCACAGGTCTTTTCGAAAGCTTTGAAGGCGTTCCAGACATTGATTCGGGACTATAGATTTGTCCTGGACACAAGAAGCATCATGACTGGGCTGCGGCTTGTGGACCTGCGAGCCGTCATGCTGAACGAACAACGACGACAAGAGGCCAGCACCCAAGCCTCAAAATACAAGGCAGGACCCTTACCCCGGACGACGCAATCTAAAATCATCATGACGGGCTTTGACCTGCGAACCGTCATGATGAACCCAAGAATGGAGGGTTCCACATCGATGTGATGCATCTCTACTCCCAATCGAGAGCTTTTATGTGTCTGGGTGTCAAGTTTGCCTAGGGACTGAATCGCTTTGTCGCTTCTTTGCAGGGGGACCGGGCGCTCTGTGACTGACCCAGAGCTAGATCACAGATATGATACCGCGCCCGGCCAGTGCAGCATACCTGCAACTTTGTTTGCGTGCATCAGGCTGCAACGTATGGCGAGGGGCAAGCCAAGAATCCCAAAAGCACTCATCACATGAAGATGAGAGCTGAATGTCAAGATTGATGTAAAAAGCTCTTGCTACTCCTTCCAGGGAGTTTACCCATGTGTCTGTGTGTGTGTGTGTGAGGTATTGTGTATGTATGTATGTATGTATGTATGTATGTATGTATGTATGTATGTATGGGTATGTGCATGTGTATATTATATGTACGTGACTGTAGGTTGTTGATTGATGCTTCTCGCGTGTTCTCTCCGTCTCGCGCTCTCTCTCTCTCTCTATTTTCTTTCTCGCTCGATCGCTCTGGCCTGAACACATCTGGCAACGAAATCCACAGGACCGGAACTGATCTGCTCCATTCCTGGGCGAGCCATCATTGAGAGTTGGACATGCCTATCAGCCCGGTTGTACTTTAGAACTGCGGGGCAGAGACGTCATAAAGCAAACGATTCACAGCAGGTTAGTGGCAGCGAGTGTTGGCTGTCAGGGCTCAGAGCGACGAGCTTGTCTACGGTGTGGGTCCACTGCTGCGCATGGTTCCAGGATACGGAAACGCCACATCTCGCTCTACGTGTAGCAGGTTTTTTTGCTGTCGGAGCTGGACTTCCAGGCTGAGACCTGCAAGCAGTGAGCCCCACAGCGACTGCACCTTCGGATTTGTTGAGAATCCTCCAGCTTCCTACGCGATAAACCCTGAACCGCACTAAGACCGCCGCGCACTCGCTCCATCCCCTTTGGGGAGGCCACACGCGCTAGGTCCGCTTCGGCAGAGGCCTCGGGTCTGGAGGCGGGCGATTTTAGGGGGCACTGGGGATGCGGTTTAGGACCTTGGCAAGAGTTTGTGGCACATGGGCTAACCGCGAGAGTTTGTGGCACATGACACATGGGCTAACTGCGATTCCTGAAAAACGGTAGAATCATTGCAAAAGACCCCTGCATAAACGTCAGGTGCCGAACTGGCAAACTCACACAACCTTCATTCGAGACATCTCGGTTCAAGATGCAGGATGTGTGCAAGCGGAGGCTATCGGAGATACTTACTGCAAGCTTTGCAGCAAGTAGGAGGCCGGGGCTTTTGAGATTTCGAGGGGTGTTGTACTGTCCGACTGTGCGTCTTGAGTGTTTGGGGTGAAGGGTGAAGGGGTCTATCTAGCTTAGTTTTCGGCTACAGAGGTAGACTTTACCCAAGCCCCGATCAAAAAAGCCTCGCGACAGGAGCTCTAGGTTGCAAGGTTGGAAGTCTGGGGCAAGAAGTGCAATAAGGTCGACACGAGGAAGCTCCAACATGGTCAACAGAATCCTTGTTCTCTTGACAAGTTCGCTCTTGCGCACACCTACCCCAAGAAAGGGCTGCTGACCAAATGGAGCTCCACTGTGTTGCGAAGCTCTCGCTTTCCCAGGCCACAAGACTTACTGTAGTTTAGGTGAGATTTCATGATGGGGAGCTACATTTGGGATTGCGGTTTCGTGCCGGTCGCGCTAATGCAGATGCACGCATCGATGAGCACACCGACTTGGAAGCCCACAACTGTTCTGAACTTCCCACCGTCGAGATGCTTCTTAAAGCCTCATGCCTAAGTGGAACCACCGATGCCACGTGCCTCCACATCCTCGGCAGCAGGCGGTCGATCGTCACCCTCGCCTGGAGATCACCCCTAACGGCCAAGCCAGACAGGAAAGCAGTGGAAATGACTACTGTAATTGCTTGCAGCCACAGATCCTGGGTGACATGCTCGGTGAGCGAACTCGTGACAGCTTTGTAGAGGTTGGTGGCACCCAATTTTCTGTGCAACCTTCTGGTCCTTGGTCCGTCCCGGCCACGTAAACCCGCATCGGGCCTGTTGCTGCCATGCTGGCGCCGCCAACGATGCCGCTGCCGCATCTGGTACCTCAGAGGGGCTGAACTCGAAAACTGCCAAAGATGTCGACGAGATCAGCTGAGGCATCGTCGCTGTCGCAGGGTCTCCGGCGCCGAAGACTATCCCGAGAAACACACGATGGAGCCAGCAAAGTTCAGCATCGCTGACCATCACTATTAGACCCAAGTGGATTCCAACGCGCACTACCACTGCCACGACGACTTGCCGCTCCTCCTCATCCTGCTGCTCCACTACTCATCCTGCTTATCCTGCTCGTGCTCCGCCTTCTCCTCCTCCTCCTTCTGACCAACGACGTGACTACTCACTACTCCCACTCCCACTCCCCACTGCTACTGCTACTAAGACTGCCACAGCCCCTGCCACTGCGACTGCCACTGCCACGGCCCTCCTACAACGACTACTCCGAACTTGAGTGCAACCACTGCACAAGAAACGATTGGATAAGAAATGTAGGGGCTACCTCAGCCGGATAGCACCAAAAACCCGCAATCTTAACATGCCTTCCAGCTAAGACATGAAGGGTACCTAACGTTTTGGAAGCATGTCTTGTTTCGGGGCGTTTCCAGGTCCTAACTCTAGGGCATGGGGCAGAGGGCAGAATAAGAAATGTAGGGGGTCCTAACCCTAGCGCATTGGGCAGAGGCCAGAATGTAAGGTGCTACGTCTCTTATGTAGGGGCAAATAACCGGCCCTGGCCCTAGGGTGTGGGGCAGTGGCCAGAATAAGAAACGTAGTGGGCTGCGCTTATTTCGGGTGGTTTCCATAGGGGGCTACGTTTTTTATTCTGGGTAAGAAATGTAGGGGGGCTACATTTCTTATTTAGGTGGTTTCCAGGCCCTAAGGGACGAGCACAACGAATACAACTACTGCCAGACACGACGACGGCTACGGCTCCGGCCGCGGCTGCTGCTATGCGTCTACCACGAAGACGACATTACGACTTCTGCTGCCCCTGCTGCTCCTGCTTGCACTCAAACTGCTGTTCCCACCGCCACCCCTACAATGACGACTCACTGCTATTGCCGCTGACTAAAGCAAATCTAACAAGGAAAGTCAGCATCATGATGATATGGAGGAGGGAGGGAGACCAAAGATGCAGAAGTTGAGCAGGGAGAGACACATTGACATTGGGAGAGTGCAACGGTGGCACGAATGTATACACATGCGTAGCTGAATGCGCATGCGCGGTATGTGCATCCTGTCATGTGGGAGACGATCTGTGCCTGTAAGCATGCATGCGGCAAACACATATCATATAACCATGTAGACATACCCGCAGGCCTGCATCATACGATCCAACGTACGTTCATCCGGCCATCCATCCATCCACACGCATGCCTTCATTCTGATCTCTCAATCATTCATCTCATTCATTCATACCTTTCATTCATTCATTTCATTTTATTCACTTCATTCATTTCCATTCATCTATTCATTCATTCATTCCTTCGTTCGTTCATTCATTCATTCACTCGCTCACTCAGTCACTCATTAATTCATTCATTCGTCCATCCATCCATCCATCCATCCATCCATCCATCCATCCATCGATTCGTTCGTCCATCGATCCATCAATGCATGCATTCATTCATTGCATATTCCGTGCCAGACTGTAACTAGACAAATAACCAGGAGTTCAGGCACACAGAGGCGAAAAGACCGGCGGCTCTTTGTGACAGACAGCGTCCATGCAACCAAACACGCGACACCTACTCACATAAAGTGCACATGCCAGTCTCAATGCAAGACAATGCGAACCAGCTCAACAGACGTGAGGCTTGTGCATGCTGGGCCACATCCGGCTCATGACAGGAGCACATGCTGTTTTGTCAATAATCGACTACTGGGCGACTGCACATCGAAGTACATCAGGCACCGAACGATGCAAACACACGCTCTTTCAAGAATCATTCCGTGATGCCCTCGGCGCCGTCGGCAGGTCCGGTTGGAACAGCAGCCGCCTCTCCGGTCATCGGCTGACAAGAATGTGTTTATTTGCAAGCGAGTCCTCGTTTGCGCCCCCCACGACATATCACGACTATTGCTGACTACTGCCGCAAGAACACCCTTGAAAAGAATTCCCTCTAGCTCTAATCACCTCAAAACCCTAGGCCCGAAACCCTAAATCCAAGCCCCAAACCCAAGTCCCAGGATCCGCCAGGCTTCCCAACATGCCGAGATGGCGCCCCCGTTTTGGGAAACAGGCTCAAACAGTGTTCTTGGGACTCGAGACAAATGAGGCCCGCACCATTTCGGAGGGCCTCAGGAAAATCTCAGGGGCAGCCTTTTTCAGCTTCAGATACTAGTACCGGTTGTCGCAGGAGTGGTGGAAACGCCCGTCTTTTCCCGTTGTGCGTCGCACTATGCTGTACAAATATCGTAGCAATGGTACTTGCGGTAGCTCAGCATGGAAACTATGGAAACAATCGCTGCGCAGGAGCAGTAGAGTAGAGTTTCGTAGAGTCGGAATAGACGTGCCATGAGCAGCAGACAAGCGGTTTAGGAAGCGGTGACGTGGGCAGCAGGG